CATTAGCACCTCTAGTGAAATATTTACTGAGAAAAATGGTGACGTGTTCAATACTTATTTTACCCGCTGTATGCATAATGCATAGCTAATATTGACTAATATTCTTTGTGAGAGGGGCTGGGCAAAGAATTTTGGTACAGAAGCAGATTGCTAAAGTTATATAGCTAGCTTTGCTAGCATCACTTACAAATGGCTTACTTTTCTTTAAGTTTCCTTTCTACACTGCAAAAACTGTCCACCTTACCAAGTTTTAAAATCTTATATCCAGCCAACAAATCTTTTTGATCTTGTTTTGAGACTGATTTACTAAACAAGAACAGAATAATAATCTTGTTTTCAGAATATGTAAGATTATTTGTCTTGTTAGTCTGAAAATTTGACTCTAATTAAGTCAAAATTTCTGCCAGTGGAGTAAGAAAATTTTACTTGGTAAGATTCTTGAAATAAGAAAAAAATTGAGTCAAATCAAGTATTTCAAGAAGTCTTAGTAAAATTTTCTTTCTCCATTGGCAAATATTTTGACTTAATTTGAGTCAAATTTTCACAAGACAAATAATCTTACACATTCTGAAAACAAGATTATTATTCAGTTCTTGTTTAGTAAATCAGTCTCAAAACAAGATCAAAAAGATTTTTTGGTTGGATATAAGATTTTAAAACTTGGTAAGGTGGACATTTTTTGCAGTGAACAAGCTGTTTTTGTTCTCCTGAATAGCTACCACAGGACATTCACAAACACACATGAATGACAAAGCAAAACTCTGTATGTTTTTGATGAGAGGATAACATTATAACATGATATAAAGCTCAAAATAGTTGATTTTACATGATATAGCCCTCAACTATTTATGGCCCAAACCTGCTTAAACCTACTCAACCCTATTACTCTGAAAGAAATTGTGTTCAGTGAGAACCCGAATCAGAAAACCGCTCCAGTTCTCAGCCTTGAATATTTATTCACACTCATAATCAGTGTGGTCCATCCTATCAGAGAGGACAAAATGACCCCGAATCACATGATCTCATAATACTTGGTCACGCCTCAGATATAATGTTTTACCCCTAAAACAGTTGTACATTTTGAAATAAAAACATTGTGTTTATACAGTTGGAGTGAGGTACGTATTAAGATAGAGACTTGCTGATTCTCATACTGGTTAAAGTTGATGTCTACAACTATAACTTTTGTTCAGCCTCCTCCTGATCTCACCTTTGCCCTGATGGGGGGGCTCTTAGTGGGCGACCCTGCAGCTCCATCAGGAACAGAGAAGTCCAGTCTTCCTCTGACGCCGCAGCTCAGCAGCTCTTTGAGAAACTGGTAGTCTGGTTTATCTTGGTAGTCCAGAGTTCTCACATAAAGAAGAAATGAGGCCACCTCGCCTGTTAACATCAACAACCAAGTTTAAAGTCAAAGAATGTTGGATCAACGGGCAGCAGTGGAGTCATCCGCTATCAGGGTTTCATTTCACTGACACACACAGGTTCACTAGTGCTTCATCTTCTGTATGAAATCATTTCTGGGAAGGAGGGGCAGTCATGTTGAAGTCAACCTGAAGGTCTTACAGAGCAGATAAAACACTGGCAGGTCCTGTTTGATCTGCAGACTGAGGGTAACAGCAGTGTGTGTGTGTGTGTGTGTGTGTGTGTCATATACAGTCAGCCTCCATGCATCACACACCATCCGTGCAACGTAATGACACAAACACACACACACACACTGTGATGCATTCTGCAGCGCTTATCTGTGGCGGGCAGCCGGGTTCTGTCAGCAGACCAGCGTGCAGCTCCCACCATACATCACACAGGTGACCTCTGCTTCCAGAGAGCAGAGATAAAACACAACTCACTCTGTGAAACAGCTGCTTCCTGCCGGAGAGCCTGGTGCACAGTCCAGGAGCCTGAAGGGGGTCCTGGGTGGAGGGCTTCAGACTGGTTGGAGTCTTTTTGAGGACTCTAATGTGTTCAGTTGTGTTCAAACCTTTTCAGATCTGGCCCTTGGTTTAGTGTGAATCCTGAGTACTTCTGCGTACTTTGTGCTGTCTTAGACATACAAAACATTCAGCTCATTTAAAGAGACGGTTTTAAGTAACGATTTTTATTTTTAAGTATGTTAAACTTTAATATTTTCAACAAAGATATATGTTGGGAGAAATGTCCTTCAAAACATAGTTCTCTTTAAAATCTACTTCAGCCAACCTGTTCTATTTTTCTTCTCACGCTACTTATAGCTTTTAGCCACTTTTTGCTAATTTTATCTTTTACCGAACATTCAACTAGCATTTTTGTTACTTTTAACTAGTGTTTTTGTTATTTTTAACTAGCGCTTTGTTACTTTAACTTGTGTTATATTACTTTTAGCTTTTGGTAAGCCTTTTGTAACTTTTCGCTTTTAGCTAGCCCTCTGCTACATTTAGCTTTTACCAATCATTCTGAACATTTTAGCTAGCATTTTGCTACTTCTACTAGTTTATTTTTCTTTGTTTTACTTTAAGCTTTTAACTTGTGTTTTTTGAGACAGTTTTGCAAACTTTTTTTAAATGAGCATTTTTGATATAAGCCTCTGGTGTTTCTGACAGTATATAATGTGTGAAATTCTATGAATGATTGTATCTGTGGTGTTTGTTTTATGGGACTACGAATGGAAATTAGCATTTTGCTAAATCCGGTATATTTACAACAACATTGCACGTTCATTAATAGGCACTGTCCCATTTAAATAAAAACCAATCAACAAAACTAGCCTTTAGTAATTGTAGCTTGACACATTTAAGCTTTAAATGCAGCTTTTACTGTGAAGTATGCCTCCAAAGAAGTGCCAGAGTTTCCCCCCCAAAAAATCCTAACATTCATGTAGAATTTGTCAAGTTTTCAGGAGGTTTTTCATCTATGCTGTATGTACTGCTACCACAGCTCCTAACCCGCTATTCCCAAAGGAGTAGCATTATCGAATCATTCAAATTGAAAATCCTGACAGAAACAGAAGCATGATAGGAGAACAGTAATAATGCCTCTGGCACCTTTATGGCCAATCAAAAGAGCAATGAAACACAAATCTGGTCCTGAACAGGTTTTAAACTCTACATACATTACTGATTTAGCACATTGTGGTGATGTGGGTTGGTGGTCCGGGGGCCAGGCACAGTTAAACTATATTCTGACAGAAGTGTGCCCACTCCTTACTACATCAGTCATGACTGTGACCTTTACTGTGAATCATCGGGATCAGACACATCACGCTTCTCATCTCCACAGTCTTGTTGTCTTACTCCTAAATTCTCCATTGAACCTGAAAAGTCTAAATGATGTCCTGTAACCCGAAGAGGCCGTCCAACCTCGGCTTACCTGTGCTGGCTCCGCTCGCAGACTGAACAGAGTCCGGCAGATTATCCATCAATCTGAGAGAGGAGCAGAGGGAGGTAAAACAGAGGAGGGGAGGAAACAGAGATGAAGTTCAGGGGCAGTTAGGAAAACATGGTAATAATCTCGTGTGGTTAACTACACTGGATTATTAATGCTTATTATCAATGTACTGCTACAGAGTACAAAATTTTTCACTACAACAGAAAATACTTTCCTAAAGTTTTTATTTTACCTCATGATTCCTGAATGGTTCAGAAAGGTTGTTGCGTCCTTAAAACTGGACAAATCTAAGTACACCAGAACTACGAGTGACCTCCTACCTGGCCTTGGCCTCCTGAACCTGAGTGGGGTGTCTGAGAACACCATCCCAGGGCAGAGACCCACATAACCAGTGAAGAAGGCAGAAGCCTAGTATCTGGAGGTCACCACGTCTCGATGGTGCTGCAGAAAGACGGAGAGGTGACGAGATCTCAGATAACATCAGTGCAAATGACACAGTTGGACCGTTGTGTAAAATATATATTAAAAACGCAAATATTTTCCAATCTCATAAACCCACATTTTATCCAGAACGCAACACATCAAATGTTTAAACTAAGATTTCCCTCCAATATGTGGGAAAATCAAATCCTGAACTGAAAAGTCATTTGACTTTGGTTGAAAAATCTCATTTTAAACGGATAAAAACCAGAGTTTTGTACCACATGCAGGTACACCGTTCAACTGATGCATGTTGAACATTGGTAGTTTGGTGTTGCCAAGTCTCAACCTGTTCATCAATACATCAACGTAAAATCAGACCTTCCTCATCTGGTCCTGTGCTGCAGTGACCAGACTGTGGGCTCACTGGGATCAATGGGAGCTGCAGCTCACAGTGCAGATTTCTCCCTGCTGATGGAGCCAATCAATAGGTAATTTCTCCTGGGATGTACAGCAGTCTTTACTATATTGAGCTACTACAACTCCCCAGGCTTGACCCGGTTGTATGAACTTGGTCACCAAATATCGACAGACCTTCACACGTAAATGCAGATCCATGCAGGCGCACACACACAGTCACCAAAGAAAGAAAACAAACATTTGATCTGTTTGAGCACCAAGAACTTGCACAGACAGTCCAGCATTTTTTTTTTTTTGTTTCATCTTCATTCTCTTAAAGTCAAGTTAAACTTTGACATTTTTGTTGTGCTGAACTGCTTGGTTAATAAAATCTTTCAACATTGATACTACAGACAGCTAATTAAAATACTCCTGAAAATAGACTGACTGAAAACAGATGAACTTAAATCAATAGACAAACAGCTAGGTTTTATTTGTGCGTTTCTGTTATCTGTGCAAAAATTTAACATCCATTTACCAACAGTTCAGTTTGACCCATAAAGGTTAGTTGCAGTTGTTGGTTTTGGAATGGTATGCTAATTACTGCTGGTTGTTTTCAGTACTAAGTGGTATAATGGCATAATAATCATATTCTTTTTATATATAAAATGCACAAACAAATATTTGTAAAATGGTGCAGAGCAGCTCTGACAAGATTCAAGGTTTTGTCATAAATATTGGACCTTACTTTGTTTTACTTCAGTTTTTTAACTTATTGCCTTCTGATAGTTATCATTGTGAAGCTTCAAGCTACTGTATATTTGTCATCAAACCAACTTTAGCCTTGCTAAAGATCTGTCATTATTCTAAAAAGGTAAAAGGGCATCTTGCTCTGTATATTTGTCTCTTGTATTAGCAAAATATCTCATTAGTCAATGGACGGATTTTTATGAAACTCAGAAAATAAAATGAATCCAGATCCAGAGAGCTGCCACAGCTAAGCTTAGAAAAAAATGGCTATAATTCAGTTAATTTCACATGGACTGAGCTAAAGTTTAGTGTAGCAAATAATAATAAAAATAATTTCACAAATGGACACTAATTTCGTAGTGTGGTAGTAGCTAAGTCAGTCTAAACTTTAGAACTCCCTCTGCCCGTCAGCAAAATAAATCACAGCTAAAAGGAATTTAATGAAACTTATAGTTACCACTGGTTGTGCAACACCTGATCACCTGAGTCTTCAATCCACATCTCTCTGTTAAGGCACTTTAAACTAAGTGGTCTCTGCTCTAGTGTTGATGGCAGCCTACATATTGGACAATAATATATAGACCAATAGTCCAGCTGATATTCGTTGTCAAGACATGGCAAGTTGTAAAAATGCACAATACTTTTTCTGTAATGGCAGACACAGATGTCATTGGGTTCTATGTTGTTTGATACACAATATGACAATTATCCCTTGATGTGGTCTGTCTCAACTGACCAGAACTTTTATGATTAGGGATGGACGATATATCGGCATTAACGTCGGTATAGGCTAGGGCTGCGCGGTATATGCGGTAGACGGTAGAAACGGTATGAAGTTGGCCTTCTGTAGAAATTTACCCTCTACCGTCCTGTCGTCATTACGTCATCGCACCTGTGTCCATAGGGCTGTGAGTGCAGAGACAACTGAGCAGGAGTTCGAAATACAATGAAGAAATTCTAGTGTTTTAAAACACGTATAGACAGAATGATAATCCTCAAAATTTCCTCTTCCAAGTTAGGTCATGTCGCGGGATCATTTCCTCCCTCCCTCTCCTCTCCTCCTGCTGCAAGTCGCACAGAGTGAAGCTTTAACAACCTCAGTTTTTCACACCCAATTGTCGGAGAAAACCTTGTTTTTTTTAAGTATTGTTACCCACAGAGATGATTATAAAAAAGACGTGGACGTTCCTTCAATCCTAAATCCATCTTGCTAATGTAAAGTTGGCTTCTGCTCTGATGATGAAGATGAGCATGCAGCGATGAAGATGAGAGCGCAACAGCTGATAAGCTCAGCAGGTGGAAGCTCATTATTTAGCAGGGAGATATCCCATTAAAGCAAAAATGCTGGGTTTGATTATGATTACAGTTCTCTGCAAAAAAGATGCTCTAAAATTTACATTATCTTTACGTTTTATGATAGTTTTCTACCGTGATATATACCGTTACCGTGAAGGGATTCAGTTTACACCGTGAAATGAATTTGAGATCATACCGCCCAGCCCTAGTATCGGCCAATATTGGTCAATTTTTTAGCATATCCATATTGCTTTGATGAGAAAAACTGCCCTGATATTAACGTCTGATATTGATTTCCCACTTCTTAGCTTTGTGTTACTGTTTAGGGAGGAGAAAACTGTTGGTTGAGTGGAATCTGTTTGAACATGATAGGGATAGTGACGCTGCACAGCCAGGAATAACTGAAGTAGAGAGCCATGTGGTTTGCTTGTTTTTTTTTTTAATGGTATCAAAAAAAGACAAGTGTGTTTGTGCATATATGCATAGAAATAATTTGTGTGTTTGTGTTGTATCTGTATATATTGGTTATCGGCCATAATAGCCGTAATAATATCAGAGATCGATATCGGCTGAAATTTGTACAGCGGGTAAAATAAGTATTGAACATGACACCATTTTTCTCAGTAAATATATTACTAGAGGTGCTAATGAC